GTTTCTCTAGGGTTCATTGTGGGTTCAAAGTTAAAGATTTGCAAAACCTTACTAGGACTCTCTCTCTGGTCAGTCATTTCACTTCACAGCAATAAGCAAGTGCTAATATCTTGACAACCTTGATTTCAGAGGTATCTCTCTGATTCTCTCTGAAGTTCACGTCTTTCACAACTGAATCAAACACAGCTGCTGCAAAGTCCTGCTTGCGAAGTGGCAGAAAATTGTCAAGTTTAGTAAAGTCAGCAAATTAATCTTTAAAATGTTTAGCTTCTAAAAGTCACGCTCTAGGTACAGGTTGTGTGATATTGATCTCTGCAGTACTAATGCTAGTGTAGTTAGTCAAAATAATGTTCCTGAGAACAGAAGAGAAGCTTACCGTGGTGTCCAGGGCCAGTTTCCTAAAGAGCCCCAAATCAGCATAGCCATTGGAGCTGTGTAAAGAGCTTTTCTGTGCTCCAAAAACTAGTGAGCTTACTTGCTCTCCACTGAAAGGGCCACTCAAGATGTATTCTTCTGCTATTTTTTAACTGTTGTTATACAGTATATACACATGAGCAGGGGTGTCCTCTCCTGGAGAGCCACCTTCCAGTAGAGTTTAGCTCTAGCCCTAATTAAACACACCTGAACCAGCTGAATCAACATCTTCATGATCACTTCCAGGCAGGTGTGCTGGAGCAGGAAAATGGCCCTCCAGGAAACATGCAATGCTGCCATGGAACCAAAAGAAATGTATTTTAGAAGGCAGCAATGCAGTCTTTGCAGTTAGTTCACTACGTTTTTGGAGCAGAGCTGGTGCAATGTAGAAAGACCGCTCACCAATAATCAGCAGCATGTGGAAAGCACAAGACAAGCTACCAAACTCCACAAATGCCCTCCCTGAACTGTGTGTGCGGTTGTCTAGACACAGGTGTTGAACTTTCAAGAATTCCTGCAGCATGTATATCCCAGACGGGAGAGGAAAACTGATAATTCGAGCAGATTTCCTGCAGAATTCTGGCTAGAGATTACATTCTCAGCAGAAGAGGTCCCATAAAACCCCAATACAATACTGATAGCCATGGTAACCTCTCAGTGCCGTGACCATCCATTCCAGATGAAAGCCTGTCTGAGATTGTTTCCATAACGACTGCTTGGCATGAGCTTCTGAACTGCATTTTCCCAGGGTGGCTTTTATAGCTGTTTGTTAGCATCCGTTCCTAGCAAACGGTTGCTTCCTTTAACCCTGAACTTAAAACTAGGTACTATGACTTCCTTTTTTTTGTATAAAAATATTTATACCATGTTTATTTATTGAACAGGTTTAGATATTGTTTTTCCATGAGGGAAACAATGATGAACTACCATCTTTTTCAGATGTTGATAAATGTTTTAAAGGATATCCTGCAGTACAAGGCAGTGCAGCTTAATTTAGATGATGAACCATGTGTCCACATTAGCACATTTTCTACATAAAATAATACTTGGCACTCTTGATCTCTCAGAAGTATTTCCTGACAATTCATATTACGGAATAATAAAAACATTGAAATAATGTGCTGTATCTATGGTTACAGTAACTGACTGATGAAATTCTGCTGACATTTGTGGTATTATTTCATTCTTTTAGCGTGATGGCCTGCTACATGTGCTTGCTCTCACACTTTTTCTCTCACTCAAGACCCTCAACATTGACTTGTTCTGTTCCTGCTGTACACAGTGAGAGTGTAAAGATAATATATTCTCTGCAGTACCTCTAATTTGCAGAACATCTAAGTTGCTGTTAGGCCTCTGCCATGTCCTGCCATTCGCTGAATCCTATTAAGCTACTAAAATTCTGTAGGTCCATGACATGGACCATAATCTTCATGGACCTACTGTAAACCTACTACAGTGTGCTGTGTTTTTTTTTTTTTTTTTAAACAATCAATAGAGAAAATGCAAACCAAAAAACAAATGTAAAACAAGGGAAAAGAGGCAGTACTGTATGCCTAACACTATACCTACGTTCACAATGGGCTTTGATTCTGGAAAACGTACGGAGATTCAGGACTCTTGAGAATACTGGAATCAGGAATTAGAAACATTTTCAGAATTAACCCCACAATGCATCATGTGTGACTATAATAGAGAGCCAGAGCCGATGCCAGGTAGTAATACTGGGAGGCAAATATAATACACAGAAAAAAAAAATGTCATAACTGAAGACGATATGTTAGAAAAATAAAATAAATTATATACCAATACTTTTTGGGCAGTGAGTTCCTCTGACCTGATGTCAGGTTATATGAGAATGTGTTTATATCGCAATAATAAATAATTGTGTCTTTTTTAGAAATTTTATAGTATACTATATTATCTTAAAGGGGTCATATGATGCGATTTCAAGTTTTCCTTTCTCTTTGAAGTGTTACAAGCTCTTGGTGCATAAAGAAGATCTGTAAAGTTGCAAAGACTAAAGTCTCAAATCCAAAGAGATATTCTTTATAAAAGTTAAGAGTCAACCAGAAGAGTACAAGGCTGGCTGTGCACAAACAAACAAAAAAAAAAGGTAAATTCCGACTTTGCTATGACAATCTGCCGCTTCTGAGGAGTGTCTGTCACGCGACTCTGTTGCCCTTTCGGGCTTGAACTGATGGTAAAACTAACGACATTATTAACTGTC